CAAAACTCACTCACAAAACTCACTCACAAAACTCACTCACAAAACTCACTCACAAAACTCACTCACAAAACTCACTCACCCACCCACCCACCCACCCACCCACTCACTCACTCACTCACTCACTCATGGATATGCGTACTGACTGGACAGCGGTGCCGCACGCCAGCCTGAGTGAAAAAACATCTAAGGAAACAGGGCAAGTAAAGTTAAAGCTAAAGTAGAGGCCATCGCTAGAAGTTGGAGGCCATCGCCCAAGTTTGGAGGCCAAAGTCCCAAGTTTACAGCAAGCATGTTTACGCAAGCACGTTTGCAGCAAGCACCTGCGCCCACCCCAACTCTGCAGACTGAATAGGAATGCATCCAGTCGAACAGAGCGGACGCGCCGGCCCTAAGGGCAACCGGCATATAAACTACTAGAAGGACGCCAAAAAATAGGAAGAGGCCATAGCAACAAGGTTGGAGGCCTGCGCTGTAGGTTAGGAGGCCCACAAGACACAGAGCAGCCAAAACAAAACAAACAAACAAACGCAAAACCAACAATCTGGATTGTGACTCCAACAGTTGCACTGCAAGGGTTGCACTGCAACATCGTGAAACACTTCAAGATTTGTGCGTGTCATTCCTTTACACTGCAACATCGTGGTGCACTTCAAGATTTGTGCGTGTCATTCCTTCACAATTCAAAAGAATCCCTGTGACTACAAGGGGCACACACACACACGCCTTTTCGAGGGGAGGCATATTTAAGGTGCCGACAGAGTTGTGGTAAGGCCAAGAACCCCTAGTAGCGTCAAAGTAGCGTCCGAGCACCTAGTAGGAAGGCCAGGAGCCCCTAGTAGCATCCCACTCTAAGGTCCCGACAGGAGGGAGGGGTAGGGAGAGAAGAGAAAAGGGAAAGAGAAGAAAGGAAGGCGTTCCCAGCTACGATGCAAGCCTTGGACGCACCAAAAGAAGAGAGGAGAAGGATTCCCAGCTATGACGAAAGCATCCAGGGACACCCAAGGAAGAAGGAAGGTGAGGAGAGGAGAAAAAGAAAGAAAGAGGGAGGGAGAAAGGGAGAGGAGAGAAAAGGAAAAAGGCAGGTGTTCCCAGCTACGAACAAGCGTCCAGGGACTCACCAAAGAAAGAGAGGGGTGATCTTGAGTATTCCATTCAGGAAAACCCCAGGAAGCAAAGAAAGAAAGGGGGAGGGAAGGGGGAGGAGGGAGGGCTAAGTTCTCCACAGGTTCCAACGAACCTCAAAAGTACTTTGACCGCTGTGGTCACCTTGTGCCCTGCCAAAGTGGCTGGCTGCTTTGACCGCTGCGGTCACGTAAAGGCATGAGCGAACTTGGAATTCAATAATCCGACAAATCGTGGCAAATAACTTTGGCGTAAGCCTCCTGCTGCCCGCTCCGGACACCTACGTTACCAAAGCCGGGGAACATGGACAAACCCCCGTTCGACGGGTCCACGGGTCCCGTTCGACGGGTCCACGGTTAAAAAACAGGGCAAGTAAAGTTAAAGTTAAAGTAGAGGCCATCGCCAAGTTTGGAGGCCAAAGTACCGAGTTACAGCAAGCATGTTTACGCAAGCGCGTTTGCAGCAAGCACCTGTGCCCACCCCAACTCTGCAGACTGAATAGGAATGCATCCAGTCGAACAGAGCGGACGCGCCGACCCTAAGGGCAACCGGCGTATAAACTACTAGAAGGACACCAAAAAATAGGAAGAGGCCATAGCAACAAGGTTGGAGGCCTGCGCTGTAGGCTAGGAGGCCCACAAGACACAAAGCAGCCAAAACAAAACAAACAAACAAACAAACAAACAAAAACAAACAAACAAACAAACAAACAAACAAGCAAGCAAGCAAGCAAGCAAGCAAACACACACTCGTGGTACACTTCAAGATTTGCGCGTGTCATTCCTTGACAATTCAAAAGAATCCCTGTGACTACAAGGGGCGCGCGCACACGCCTTTTCGAGGGGAGGCATATTTAAGGTGCCGACAGAGTAGTAGTAAGGCCAAGAACCCCTAGTAGCGTCAAAGTAGCGTCCGAGCACCTCGTAGGAAGGCCAGGAGCCCCTAGTAGCGTCCCACTCTAAGGTCCCGACAGGAGGGAGGGGTAGGGAGAGAAGAGAAAAGGGAAAGAGAAGAAAGGAAGGTGTTCCCAGCTACGACGCAAGCGTCCAAGGACACACCACAAGAAGAGAGGAGAAGGATTCAGCTATGACGCAAGCATCCAGGGACACCCAAGGAAGAAGGAAGGTGAGGAGAGGAGAAAAAGAAAGAAAGAGAGAGGGAGAGAAAGGGAGAGGAGAGAAAAGGAAAAAAGGCAGGTGTTCCCAGCTACGAACAAGCATCCAGGGACTCACCAAAGAAAGAGAGGGGTGATCCTGAGTATTCCATTCAGGAAAACCGCAGGAAGCAAAGAAAGAAAGGGGGAGGGAAGGGGGAGGAGCAACGAACCTCAAAAGTACTTTGACCGCTGTGGTGAGCCAACTTGGAATTCAATAATCCGACAAATCGTGGCAAATAACTTTGGCGTAAGCCTCCTGCTGTCCGCTCCGGACACCTACGTTACCAAAGCCGGGGACTGGGCTCATCCCGGGCTCTCACTAGGAGAGGCACACTTACTGATATGCGTACTGACTGGACAGTGGTGCCACACGCCAGCCTGAGTGAAAAAACACCTAAGGAAACAGTGCAAGTAAAGTTAAAGTTACAGTAGAGGCCGTCGCTAGAAGTTGGAGGCCATCGCCCAAGTTTGGAGGCCAAAGTACCAAGTTTACAGCAAGCATGTTTACGCAAGCACGTTTGCAGCAAGCACCTGTGCCCACCCCAACTTTGTAGACTGAATAGGAATGCATCCAGTCGAACAGAGCGGACGCGCCGGCCCCAAGGGCAACCGGCATATAAACTACTTACTAGAAGGACACCAAAAAATAGGAAGAGGCCATAGCAACAAGGTTGGAGGCCTGCGCTGTAGGTTAGGAGGCCCACAAGACACAAAGCAGCCAAAACAAAACAAACAAACACACACAAAACCAAACATCTGGATTGTGACTCCAAAGGTTGCACTGCAACATCGTGAAACACTTCAAGATTTGTGCGCATCATTCCTTCACAATTCAAAAGAATCCCTGTGACTACAAGGGGCACACACACGCACTCACACTCACTCTTCACTCGCACTCACTCTCACTCTCACTCTCACACTCACGCTCACTCTTCTCACTCTCACTCTCACTCTCACTCTCACTCTCACGCTCACTCTCACTCTCACTCTCACTCTCCCTCTCACTCTCACTCTCACTCTCATTCTCACTCTCACTCTCACTCTCACTCTCACACTCATTCTCACTCTCACTCTCACTCTCACACTCACCACCACCGCCACCGTCACCACGATCCCCACCTTCATCACCACCATCACCTCTCTGGACCCCAATGCGTCTACTGTAGATCTCTAGACTTTCTGCTTATAGACCTCACACACAGTTTGGGGTCTCTTGCTGGGATAGTTTTTCAGCGAAGGAGGTGGGGATCCTCTTTTCGGTGCAGTTAGTGTTCTTTTTCTAGGATTTGGTTGTGTTTCATTCTTTCATGGGGGTAGAGTAGATTGTGAGACCACTCAGTGGTCTCCGTAGTTGTAGTGCTCGAATTTTTGATCGCAAGCTTTGGTGAATTTGATGTATATATAGCTGTCCGGCTTGCATTTGGCACGATTGAGGTTCGTGATAGCAACCCCTGGCGTGTTGCTCTTCCTGTCGCTTCTGGGTTGCACAAAAGCACCACCCCTCCAACTCCAACTGGTTGGAGTGCATGTTTGTAGCCCTCCAGTGGTACTGTGAGGCTGGGGGTCTGGACCAAATACAAGCACCATGCGTTGCAGTTCTGCCCAAAACTGCACCCCCTTTTCCTGCCTGGAAGTTCCGCATACCTCATATGTGTGACAAGGAAACACTGTTGGATTTCCTTTTGACCGGAAGAGGAGCCAGAACTCACTTGGATTGAGCACTCGCATGAGGATCTTTGCTCTGACGTCTGCGGTGGGTTCGTTGGCCTGTGTGTTGACCGTGAGACTGCAGGGAACTCAGCGTACTCCTGAGTGCGGATGAGATTTATTACTATTTCTTTCTTGTGAGTCTTTTCTTAAACATGGCTTTTTTTGACCAAGAGGTTTACTTGGGAACTCTGTGGTTTGATAAGCTACCAAGAGATCGCCAGAGGTGCCAATGATCTACTGTACTTGGATTTATGTAAGTGAAAGGTGCTCACTGCTCACTGGTTTGACACAGCAGGGAAACTCTTGAGTCCTCCAGTGATCTCAAGGTTTGGGCCAGCAGTGTTCACTTTGATCATGACCTCCAGAGCCATTTTGAGCCTGCTGATTTCTGCTGCTCGGTCAGATAATCTGGGGTTCAACCGAAAATGCGACCAATACTGTATACTGTATACTCTATATACACACATACTAGCTTCAGGCTTCATGGTTCCCAGGTAGCCTACTTCATCTATCTATTCGTTCTTCCACTACTTTTCTGCAGCATGGAAGGGAGTTTGGTGAAACTTGCGTGTTCTGCGGTGGATTGCTTCCTTGCTCTCGGACCAAAACTCCACACGGTACCAAGGTGATGTGCTTTCAGCACGGTGTGGATTCCGCCACTCGGAAGGGTGGAGCTGGGCCACTGGGTGGGCTGAGTGCCCAGTGAATCAGTCTCATGATGATGGATTTTTGGGGGAAACAGGACTCAGATGATTCACACTGGCAGTGGACAGTGTCAAACAACGGGTCCACTGGTGAGAGACACTCCGAGGTCTAACAACCAGAAGAGCCGGCCCGTTTCGACTGCGCGGGCAGAGAGGGACTCTTGTTTCAACTGCGCCGATGTGAGGTCGACTGCATTTCTTTGGTGGCAGTCTCCATCATCACCCTGATGTCCTCGGCCCGCCGTGTTTCCGCTGCATGGCAGCATCGCCACCTCCGTTGGTTACCTCGGAACTCCGATTTGATGCTTGCAGGTGCACACCGGCTCTGTACCATGGTGATGCAATGACCTACGCAGATTGCACATATCCCCGCACAAAAAAACTTCACAACACCAACAAGATGTAGCTATTTGTGGACACTTTCGTTGCTGTCAGGTGCCTCCAGTGTAGTTTCTTTGCACGGCTGTGTTGTTCGGCGAAGGAAACCGAGCCAAATGAAACCCAAAAAGACTCCAGAAAGAAGAGGTGTGCTTCACGGTTCCATCATTAACAACCAAACCCTAGGCTTCTGGTTGCCCACCATTGATTGAATAGTCTGAATCCGCACTACGAAACCAGCTCAACCCTTTTGAGCATAGTCTTAGAAGGCCAGTAACACAATTGTGTTCTCAGTCTCATCAACCTTGTTGTTGCATACCAAACAGTAATGGGCCAGTGATGGGTCGAGTCATATCGTCGAATTGTAGATCTTGCTGCAAGATCCTGCACCCGGGATTGTTGGATCGATATCTTCGGGCAAAACCCTCTTGCAGGGAGTTCATATTATATAGTTATATATGCTGTATATAGAGCTCTTTGGCTATTTCACTCCTGTCCCTTCCAATGTATTAAAGGGTGTGTGAAGTTGAGGTGCATGGATGCTGAGGTTAAACCAATTTGCCAGCAGGTGTTTTTTCGTGGCACGCAAGGAGTTGCCTTTTTGTGTTCTTGCTCTATGCTCATTTGCAGATTTTCTCATTGCCTCACCTGTTCGTATCCTGAGTGGCTCCACTCCAGCTGCTCCGCCTGGCCCTCCGCTTTCCCGGTCTCTGAGGCTCAGATGCGGCAATTTCAATGAGAGATCTGAGCGCTGTCGGTCGGTCCATTCGCAAGGCACATCGGAAGGCGCGCAAGGCACTTCCGAGATTGACCGGAAAATCACTACGAGCAAGAAGCTACTAGGAGCAAAGGGCATCGCTACTAGGAGCAAAGGGCATCGCTACTAGGAGCAAGGACCCTACTAGGGGCTCCTGGCCTTACTACTAGGAGCAAGAAGCTACTAGGAGCAAAGGGCATCGCTACTAGGAGCAAGGACCCTACTAGGGGCTCCTGGCCTTACTACTAGGAGCAAGAAGCTACTAGGAGCACTACTAGGAGCAAGGACGCTACTCCGGAAGCTGGTTGAAGAACATGGACGGACGAATGCGAGCCGCATGCGGCGAATGCGTTGGAGCCACGGCGCAAAACCGTGAACTGCGCCGGACCTCTGACCTCTGAGCAGTTCTTTTTGGAACATACACGACAGGTGTCTTCGGAAGTGCTGTTTTTAGTCTTTAGGTCCACGACAAGGCATGTCCTGTTTGGGCTAGCACATCTTGGGAAAGTGTGAAGCTGTTCTTCAGCCTGTGGAGCCGGAAATTTGATGGGAAGCTGTCCCATTGGTAATGGTTCCCACATTCAGAATCTGTAGGGCTCAAGGGAGCCTTCAGAAACATCTCGAATGATGAAGGGGCTTGCAATCAGAAAGCCCGCACTTGCCCCGGCCAGTCTCCGGCTGTATGATATCCACAATTAGAGGACAAGTATTCAAAGACCGATTCCTAGATGGATCTCAATCCATCCACCATTCTCATTTCAGTCAGTCTTAAACTGGCTTGAGAAGACCAAGACATGCACCTAATAGGACCTAACCTGTCCACCGTCCGCGGCATTTTGGCCCAGCCCACGCGACGTGCCACTATTTTTGGAAGTTTCGTTGCAGTGCCACCCGTGCAACTGCTACCAGGCGGGGTATGCGATGCAGAGGGGTAGGCCGTGCAGAGGGGCGGTTTTTCTTTATCGCACTCTATGTTAGGGTGGTGGTGGGCTTGACTGGGGTTCTAAACTTTTCCATCAGATTTCTCCTATTGGTGCAAAGCGATGAACAGCGATCCTCCAAGTGAATGACACTTCTGGGCTGAAATGCTTAAGTCGTGATTCACACGCTGCTTGCCAAGAGTGGGTAAACAGACGATCTCACTGGAATTTGGCGGCAGGAGTTTGGTATAGATCTGATCTACGACGAAGACCCGTGTAAATGGATGGCTTTAGTATGCTTTAGTGGGGATTCTAGTAGGTTGGAGGCCATTGCTATTGGGTTGGAGGAAATCGCTACTAGACACCCCAAGGGGTGGTGTTTGGAGCCCTGAAACCGGGGTGTTTAACGGACACCTCGGTAGCCACCAATTGGCACCCTGAATGTGTGTTTTGGTAGAAGGACTTTTCCAGGTGAACTGGCCGTAGATCTGTCGAGCTGCAACAACTGATGGAAAAAACCGCTGCACTCGTCCTAGACTTCGATGACTTGCCACTCTGTCGTGGGCAGCTCGCAGGGGACCCCGAGGGCCCCGGTTTGGAGGTCGGCCAGATGAACTCATGGACCTCCGAAAGCGATTGGCACAAGCTCAGATGTTGTTTGACCAACTTCAACTCACCATAGATGAGCAACCACCAAAATGTGCAATGACTCATTTAGTAAAGAGCGGTCGTGATTTTCAGTAATTTGGCTAAAACCTGCGAACGCAATAAACCCCCCTCAAAAGCCATATTTCTGCAGTTTTTGGATATGATCAGCTATGTTGACATTGTGGCTAAAACCTGCAAACGCCACCTCAAAAGCGATAACCTTGCTGAATCATGTCCTGTACTTGACAGTACGTTTTGGCAGACGCTCAGATGGGCATTGGGGGTGCTTGTGTTCAACTTGTCTTCCAAACACCGCCAGAATAGAATGGCATAGAATGTCGGTCCAATACCATTGTTCTCCAAGATTATGTCAATGTAAGAACCGTAGAATACAGAGAGACGAGTGTTTGTGATGCATTGCATGTTATGTGGACACATTGGCCTTCAAGCTTTGGAACGAGCGACAGGATGTTGTGTTTGCATCTTTGTCTTCTGAGTTTTTCACCGAACATGGAATAAGCGTCACAAGGGCCGTGGAAGGACCCATAGGACTTACAAGGACCTAGAATGGTTAGTTGTATTTATGTAATTATGACATTTTTACAAAGACAACACCTTCTGAAGCGCACCGACGTTTCCGCTTTCCGCTAGGGATTTTCGCCACAGTACCAGCTTCCGTCCGAGGCTCGGACGGGACGCGGAGTGCCGTCTCTGTCTGGGTGCAGCACTTAGCCGGAGAGTTGGCCAACATCTGCAACAAGAGCACAGGGATGACACCGACATTTGGTGTGTGTCAAAATTGGCCACGTGCCAATGAGTCTTTTTGAACATGGCCACTTGCCGATCAAATTCCTCAAACAGGCCATGTGCTAAGCTATTTTCTTTGTGATGTTTTTCGAACATAGCCACGTGCCATTCAATTTTCTCAAACATGGCCACGTGCCAAAATAAATCTCAAACATGGCCACGCGCCAATCAGTTGTCTCAAACAAACATGGCCCCGTGTCAATCGATTTTCATGTCGAGTCCTATCATTTCTGAGACAGACTTCCAAAATGGGTGGCAAAGCTCCTTGAATGTCTTGAAGTTGTCACCCTCAAGAAGCCCTTTATAAAGACTTTGTTGAGCAGCTTCCAGAAGCCCTTTACCACCTGCCCGCTGAGAGTAAACTGTTTGTTGTTTGCTCCAAGAAGAGCACCACTTGCCAGGCCCAGCTGATGATGAGTTGATCGCTCCCTGCAGGTGCGGGGCGATGCGGGGCGACAGTGCAAAACACAACGCCACAACCACGCGTTTGTTCACACAGGGCAGGTGTGTTTGGGATGCTGTGGGTGCCGATTCCGGGCAAGCCCGGGCCACGGAAAAGGCCTTGCCTTAAGGAATTCAAGATCTTTACATTTCGTAGGGCCTTGCGTAAAAGTTTAGAACATCTCAGGCTTGCAGATTTCCGTCTTAGCTTGGTTGGGGCACGGCTCTCCCGATGAGGTTCATGGGGGCAAAAATGGGCGAAGCGGAAAGGAGACATCAGTTCGGATGAAATTCCTAGAGTCTATAGAGTTGGTCAGAAGCCATTCTAAGTTCTAAGAGGCCTTTTCCTTCCTCGCTGATCGTAGATCGGGGTGTAAATATTGCAAACAAATAGGAATTCATCAGTGGATTTATGGTCAACTGAAAGAAGCCCACGAAGCAGCGGGCATTCTATCGCGACAGGCCGTTGATGGGGCAAAGGTCCCGAAAAAAGAACACAGCGAAGCTTGAACGCTGGTGTTTCCACTCTCTAGCTCTTGCTCTTAGTAGCGATGCCAGGAGCCCCTAGTAGCTTCTTGTTACTAGTAGTAAGGCCAGGAGCCCCTAGTAGCGTCCTTGCTCCTAGTAGCGATGCCCTTTGTGGTGTTTCCACTCTCTGGCTCTTTTGGACCCCCCGAGTTCCACCCCCGAGGAATTAAACTGGACCTTTCAGCCCATTCGTCGAGGAGGTCTCCCTATGATGATGTACCCGCTGAAAGCTAACGTGCACCTTGAAGTTCACTGGTTTGTAGAGGAAAACCATGTTTCAGGGTGCCATTTTCAGTGTCCACGTGAGTTTTCGGGAGTGTAAAACAACGCCACAAGGTGTGCCGGAAGCGTCCGGTGGGTGCACCGTGGCTGCCCGGGGTCCCAGATCAGTCCCAGATCCGCCGCAGTGGCTTTGCTAGACGCCGCTGGTAGAAAACAAGTCGGCATGACAAAGGGCACGAGACCGATGAATGTCACAAGCAATCAATCGTTTTGGTTTCTTTGATGAACATGATGCGGTTTTGACTTATATAGTTTGGACCTAGAGACGTGCCGCGTTTCAGCACTGTTGATTGGTTTGAGGTTTGGATAGATGGCGAGCTTCTGGGCAGAACCCTCGGGCTTTGGCCTTAGAATTACAATATGATCATATGATCATTGATTGGAAGCAGTATGACCTCCTCCTTTGTCCGAAGCACGATTCCTTTGACGTGCAAATCCTCTGCAATCGCCCGGGTCAAGGCCGCGCTGTAGAAAAGAAGCAACTAACATCAACAGCTCTTCAATAACACCTGCATATCATATCTAAGAGCGATGGCCTCACCCTAGTAGCGACAGTAGCGATGGCCTCCAAACTACTGGCGATGGCCTCCACCTTAGTAGCGATGGCCTCCTCATTTTTGGCTCTCTGCAATTGGGACATTCAGGCCTTCACACATTGCTGTGCATGCGGCTTTCGCCACTAGTCCGCAGGTTTAGCAGCTTAGCAAGCGGTTCATCAAGATCTGGTCCAAACCGCGGGAAAACACTGGTTCTAGCAGCGGTGCCTGTCAAAACCGCGACATTCCAGTGTTTGGAGGGTTGGGGTTTTGTGCAAGGGCTGTATAGTATAGCTGCGATTTTTCAACACTTCACGCTTCAATGCTCTAGGACAAAGTTCAAGGGTCCGGGAGGTTTTTTGGGAACTCTTCTAAAGGGCTATATATGTCGTGCTTTAATGTGCTTTAATCATTTTAAGGATACAAACAGCACTGAACTGTGTGACTCCCCTTTCCGAACTAACTTTGCAGACCTTTCGGACCCCAAGACAAACAAGCTACTAGGGTGCCCAAGACGGAGCGTCTTTGTGATGCGCTAATGCTCCATTTCGTGGCTCGTTTTTGTGGCCCGCCACCAAAAATGAACCAGTGCGCGAAGGGTTCCGAAACGGTTCGGTTTTTAGATCACCACAGCGGTTTTTGAAGCGCGAGGGGCACCGTTGAAGCTACGGGTTGCTTATCCTGCCCAGCTCCCTTGCCCTCCCCTTGATCTCATCCGCATCAAATCAGTACTGGTCGGACCCTTTTGTGTATAATCGTTACAATGTCCAACCCCTACATCTTGAACTTGGTGGACCACTGACCGGTGGAAGCAATTGGG